GGAACGAGAAGGAGCAGGCCCTCTCAGAAGGCGGCGGGACTTCTCAGAAGCTCTCGCGTCCTCTGAGAAAAGTTTCTGTGTCTTCTGGGAATCGGCAGGCGGGGGGGCTTCCGAGCCCTCTGAGAAGGCCCGCCCCTTCTCACTTCCCCCCCTCGCTCGCCGCCGAGTGCTGCCGACACTGGGGGCCCGAGATGAGGCCAGAGGGCCCAGTGTCGGCGGTGGACAACACTCCCTTTAGTAAACCTCCCCTTAGTGAAAACGGCCTGGGACCGAAGCCGACGGACCTGGACCCGCAAAAATGACGGCCCCGACGCCCTCTCGCGAACCGAAAACGGCCAATTCACTAATCGACGTGTCAGGGTAGGAGATCTGTCCACCCCCCATAGTGTGAAAGCGCTGCGGCGCCAGGAGCTCGAGGTCCTCCAAGGGAGAGGCGGGCGTCCAGGGGGTGCCTGCGTGCCCTCTCGGAGCGCCGCTCTGGCCCGCTTAACGAGCGGCGAACGTGCTCCTGAAGTGTCTTGAGAACAACCCCCCCCGTAGGGGGTAACTGATGATTTGCTCGGCCGCCTTATTGAAGGCCTGGGGTCCCACCAATAGGGGAGGAGGGGGAGGAGGAGGAGGAGGAGGAGGAGGAGGAGGAGGAGGAGGAGGAGGAGAGAGGAGGAGGAGGAGGAAGAGGAGGAGGAGGAGGAGGAGGTGCTAAGGCATGGATGCTAAGGGTGCGCACCTGGCGCGAGGACACGTAGAAAGTGCCTGCGAACGAGAGCGGAGGAGGAGGAAGAGGAGGAGGAGGAGGAGGAGGAGGAGGAGGAGGGGGAGGAGGAGAGAGAGGAGGAGGAGGAGGAGGAGGAGGAGGAGGAGGAGGAGGAGGAGGAGGAGGGAGGAGGAGGAGGAGGAGGAGGAGGAGGAGGGAGGGGGAGGGGGAGGAGGAGGAGAGGAGGAGGGGGAGGAGGAGGAGGAGGAGGAGGAGGAGGAGGAGTGAGGAGGAGGAGGAGGAGGAGGAGGGGAGGAGGAGGAGGAGGGAGGAGGAGGAGGAGGAGGAGGAGGAGGAGGAGGAGGAGGAGGAGGAGAGGGAGGAGGAGGAGGAGGAGAGAGAAGGAGGAGGAGGAGGAGGAGGAGGAGGAGGAGGAGGAAGAGGAGGAGGAGGAAGAGGAGAGGAGAGGACAGGAGAGGAGAGGAGGAGGAGAAGGAGGAGGAGGTCTTAGGACCAGTCCTATTCACCGCCGAGAGGAAAGGGGGGATCAAAACTAAAGACCTTGAACAATTTATCCATATCCACGACCGCGCGGTCTGGATTCCTGGGCGCGAGCCCGCGGATACGATATCGCACGGAGGCGTTCCACGCGGGGCATCCGGGAAAAATCCCGTGTCCGTGGGGTCGCGGCCCAGGTGCCCGGCCCGCGAGGCCGCGGATACGGAGATGCTTTCGCCCACGAAGACAGAAGAAGAAAAAACGGCATAGACAGAAACTTCTGGCGCTCCGCGCGGGCTTCTTAGACCTGCGCCGGACCCCCCTCCCTGGGGCGCTCCGCGCGCCAGGGGCGGCGCCCGAGGCGCCGCTGGGGGGCTCAGCGCGGATCCAAGAAATCCGTGCGGAACGCCAACAGTTTATGTGAATGGCACTTCTTCTTCAAATTGTTCTTATAGAAAGTAGTATGAGCATTCTTCCTCTTAGTACTATTACGATTTGTATTACTATTCATATGGTTACTAATACCATTATTATTCGTATGATGCTTACTAATGCTTATTATGGCTGGCAATATATATATATATATATATATATATATATATACATAGTATTGTAGCTGACATTATTGCTATTACTGTTTTCAATAGTGTTCGTATTGTGCTGTTTATGTTCCTTCTTTTCTTCTTCGTATTATTATTAACATCATTACCATTGTCATTACTACTATTAATAATATTATTAGCAGTTTGCATATATTGTTATTATTCGTCGTCTTCTTCTTATTATTAGTATTAGAATTATTATTCTTATTATTCGAATGTCTTCGCCCACGAAGAGGGCCCAGCGCCAGCTGCACAGCCTGCACCGATTCTGGCCAGGCCGGGCCCTGGCACCAGCATCGGCGCGCGCGCCCCTTACTGCCTTCCGGCAGGGAGGGCGTGCACACCGACGCCGGGCCCAGCGGGGGCGGCCTCCCCGCAGGGCCCAATTCTCTGGGCCCTGCAAGGAGGCCACCCACGCCGGATCCGTGAGTACCTGCCAGACCACCCCAACCCGACCCGAGGACCCGAGTCTGACCCGAATTTCGGCTTGGGGGGGGGGTGCGGGTTCCATGTGTGTCTTCGATGTTCCCCGACCCCCCCCCTCTGGAAAGGGAGGGTTGGGGTGGCTAGGTGTGGTGGTGAGATCCTGGGCCGAGGATGGGCCTGGCCAGGGTGGGTGCAGCTGTATGGTTGGCGTTCTTCGGGGCTGCTTCTGCCTTCAGTCCCAGCATCCCCCTGTCGACCGCGGCCTCCGAGGGCCGTTCTCGATGGCCCCTGGCCCGCCGCGGGGGGGGCACCGCCCTCGCGCGTGAAGAGGGTGTGCGCGGCAAGGCCGCAAGGGCTCCGGAGGGCCACGCGGACGCGCTGCGAGCGGGGCGCGGCCGACGCGAGTGGCCGAGGATGAGCCGAAGGGACAGGGTGTTGAGGATGAGCCAGAGGAAAGAACGCGGCTGGCCAGCGAAGGTCGCCGAGGGGGTGGGGAAAGAGCGGCAAAGACATAAACGGGTGGCGCTCCGGGCGGATTCCTCGGAGCTGCGCCGGGCCCCCCTCCCTGGCGCGCGGAGCGCGCCAGGGGCGGCGCCGAGGGGGCCCAACGCCGATCCAAGAAGAAATCCGCGCGGAGCGCCCAAAGTTTATGATGATGCCTTTGCTTCTTCTCCTTCGAAAAGGGGCAAGGCTGCAAGGTTGGCCTTGGAAAGTCTCTCCTCCTTACGATGCGGGGGGACTGCAGGTGGACAGGCGAGGTTCTACAGAGTGAGGGCCACTGAAAGGGGCCCAGGGGCACACAAGCAAGTACACACGAATCCCAGGATACCCCATATTTTCTCACATCCTGTTGATCTCCGTATCCACCCCACTTCCCATACCCTCCCATAGCTTCGAGGGCGTTGGCTACCAATTGTGTCTGCGTGCTCTCTCCCCTCCCGACACTTGGGGCCCCGCCCCCGTGGGCGCGCCGCCGGGCTCGGGAGCCGGAGCTGGCCGGGCGCGCGGGCAGCAGCCGGCGCAGCCTGGCGCGCGGGAGGTCCCGCGGGTCAGAGAAACACCGCTTCTGATGGGCCTGTTTTCCACCACCACCAGAAGCTGGAGGGGGAGGGGGTGCTCTTCCTCCTCCTCCTCCTCCTCCTCCTCCTCCTCCTCTCCTCCTCCTCCTCCTCTCCTCCTCCTCTCCTCCTCCTCCTCCTCCTCCTCCTCCTCTCCTCCTCCTCCTCCTCCTCCTCCTCCTCCTCCTCCTCATCCTCATCCTTCCCCCCCAGCTCATGGTGGTGGTGGTGGAAAACAGGCCAATCAGCTTCGACCCCGCCGGCCCATCGCCTCGGGCGCGGGGATCCCCGCGAGTGTGACCGCGACTGGGACTGTGGTCGTGGCCTCAGCCGCGGGAGCGCGGCCGCGGTCGTGCTCGTGCTCGTGCTCGTGCTCGTGCTCGTGACCTCCTGGCGAGGTCGCCGTCAAGAGTCGTCGTAGCTGTGCCCGTGATGGCACTCGTGGTTTCGGCCGTGGCGGTGCCGATAAGTGCGAGTGCCGATACGAGCCGAATCGTGACCGCGATCGTGAAGGATGGTCGGCACTACGATTGCGATGCGGCCGTGGTTACGATAGCGGTTGTGCTTGCCCTCGCGGTTGTGCTCGCAATCGCGGTTACCATCGTCATTGCGATCATGATTGCGTTTGCGACTGTGTTGCGGTAGTGACTGCGATTGCGAGTGCGAGTCTGGTTGGGGCAGCTTTTGAACTTAAGATTCCGACTGTGAGCTCCCAGGCGATCGCGAGCGCGGGTGCTACTGCGACTGCGACCACGGCTGTTGTGGACACGTGTGGTTGCAATTTGGAGGGTTCGTCTGCTTAGCCTTAGGTCAGGCATGTCCCCCTACAGGCGGATTCTGGACGAAAAATGAATCATTGTCCAAAGATATTTAAAAACGCCCCAAAAAGAATCGACAAATCGTCCCCATACTATTTTGTGACTAGTCTTGATTAAAAAATGCTTTTCCGCTTTCGGTTATTCCTTCTTTCGGCACCTGGCGCCCTTCCAAGACCTTTTCCCCTCAAGCGCTCGCACTTGGGACGACGGGGTGGTTCGGTGTGACTCGGTGTTGCCGTGTTGAATGTTCCTCCTGTCGAGGGACAGGCCCGACTTAAGCTTAGCCCCAGGCACGATTTGAGCTCATCTAGCTTCCCCACAAGCGGGACCACGCAGCGGCGAGCCCGGGGAACGAGCGAGGCCGACGGCAGCGAGCGAGCGCAGACCGGGACGGGCCGGGGATCACGGGCGGGAGGAGCGGCGGAGCTGATGCCATCCTGGGCTGCCCCGAGCGCCGTCCATGCCATGGATGGGGTGTGTATCAAGGGGGGGCGGTCATCAACCTCCCGATTTGAGCTTGCCCAATCCCGCCCCCTCCGTCCTCCTCCTCCTCCTCCTCCTCCTCCCAATCCTCCTCCTCCTCCTCCTCCTCCTCCTCCTCCTCCTCCTCCTCCTCCTCCTCCTCCTCCTCCTCCTACCTCCTCCTCCTCCTCTCCTCATCCTCATCCTCATCCTCATCCTCATCCTCATCCTCATCCTCATCCTCATCCTCATCCTCCCCCTCCTCCTCCTCCTCCTCCTCCTCCTCCTCCGACGACGACGACGACGACGACGACGACGACGACGACGACGACCACGACGACGACGACGACGACGACGACGACGACGACGACGACGACGACGACGACGACGACGACACCCCCCTCCACCCGTGCCGACAGCACGTGCCCAACCACCCCAGCAGATTCCAGGGGAGGGGCGGTGCTTGTCCCATCCAGAATACTCGTCCTGTTGGCAGCGCCTGGCGGACGCGGGCGCGACTGGAGAGCCCGCGGGCCGCGAGGGACACCTCGTGCACGCTGGCGCGGGTGAGAAAGCAGAAGGCACGCCGAGGCGGAGGAGGGGAGGAGGAGGCCCGGCCGAGGAGAATCGAGAGCTGACCATACACACGGCATGCGAGGGCTACCAAGATCATCTGTGCTGGACCGCCCGGGCGGTGCTGCACGCGCTGTCAGAGCTGCTGCCTCTCTGGCAGCACACGCGGCATGAGATCCCCAGAGAGCGCGTCGTGCACGTTCGCCCCTGAATTCCCGGGATATCTCAGAGCAGCGGTCCGACCCTTGTGGGAAGAGGGTCGCACTCGAAACGAATCTGCAGCTGCAAGAATGCGCTGCGACATTCGACCATGAAGTCGAAATGCGAAGGCTCTAGGGGGCCACACCTGCAGCAAAGAGTACAGTCAAAACTGAAAACGAAGATGCGCGATGGGGATGCAAAGGCCTTGGAAGGCCGTGCCGACACTTTCCAGCGGGGCGCGGCCAACGAGAGTGGCCAAGGATGAGCCGAAGGGAAAGGATGCACGGAGGAGCCCACCGCACAATTGTGCCTGGCCGCCACATCTAAGGGAAAGGACCATCCTAAGCGTGCACTTGGAGGGGGTGGAAAGGTTAGCGCCGTACCCCCGTGTACCAGCCAACACGTCTAAGGGAAATCCGATCATCCTTACTACAGTCATCGGCCTGACCTAAGGAACGATAAATAAGGAACAAAACCCCTTTTTATCCCAAGGAATAACGCATAAGGAACGATAAATAATAGATAACGCATAAGGAACTGTAAATAAAGCATGTAAAATCTAAGGAACGACCGAGCCCCTTTTGAAAAGTAGGTGTTCCTTATTCAAGCCGCCCACTGTATCAGTGCTGACTGTGCGCGCTCCATCCTGCCTGATTCCTCGAGCTGCGCCCAGCCGTGGCCACGACGGGCCCCCGCGAGGGCAAAATCCAGCCACGCGCCGCCGGGGTGGCGCCGCCGCCGCCGCCGCCGCCGCCGCCGCCGCCGCCGCCGCCGCCGTCGTCGTCGTCGTCGTCGTCGTCGTCGTCGTCGTCGTCGTCGTCGTCGTCGTCGTCGTCGTCGTCGTCGTCGTCGTCGTCGTCGTCCTCGTCGTCATCGTCGTCACGCGGCGTGCTCTGCACGGAGAGGCGCTCCGCGCGGGCAGCCGAAGAGCGCGGCGGAAGGGCCGCGCTCGAGGCCGCGGCGCGCCGGCGGGCCGCATTTGGGCCCGCCGGCGGCGGCCTGCGGCACACCGCGCCTCGAAGGTACAGTCGGGCCGCGTGCGAGGCGGGGATTTTATCCACATCCACCGCCTGGAAGCCGACGCCCTGGTGCTCGGGCGGGCGGTGGATTTGGATGTACATCTATCTATCTATCTATCTATCTATCTGTCTGGGCCCCCCGGGGCCCGAATAGATTCACATCCACCGCCTGCGGAGGTCCGCGAAGATCGAGCCCCCCAGGCGGTGGTTATGGACGAATCGCCGCCTCGGGCCGCGGACCCGAGGAGCGAGAAACCAGGCGCAGGGCCCCCTGTTTTCCCAAAGAAGTCCAGGAAGTCCGAAGGAACACCGAGGGGGGCTCGCCGCCACAAAAGGGAGCGGAGCACATGCAGACCTCCGGGACGACCAAGCCCCATCTGAACAGCGTCCCGTGTTCAGCGGCCCGACTGTAAGGCAAGAGAGCCCTGGCCTGGGTCGGGCGAAGGGGCGGTAGTCAGGGAAGGGGTAGCGAATCGGCTCACGCGGCCGATTTCGACGCGCCTCCTGGCGCCAAAGGCGCCAGGGTATCGAGGAAAGCGCCGGGCGGCGGGTCCGGTTCTAGCTCAATGCAGGAGTCTTCATAACCCCCCTTTCCCCATCCACCCTGTCTGCACAGATCCCATGACTCCCCATACCTCACCATGTATTCTGGAGCTTCGGCTTCCCCACCTCGTCCCACAGTTCCTGGGGAATCGACGTTGATCCGACCAGGTTTCCCCCAGGGCCGTGGGCGACCCGAGGAGGAGGAGGAGGAGGAGGAGGAGGAGGAGGAGGAGGAGGAGGAGGAGGAGGGGGAGGAGGGGGAGGGGGAGGAGGAGGAGGAGGAGGAGGAGGAGGAGGAGGAGGAGGAGGAGGACAATCTGACCTTCGTCCGACCCGAATGGAGGCCCTGTGGGGCGTGGCCAGGCCGGGCCGAATTGCAACAACAGGTACACACCTCGTGACACACTTCACGAGGATGCAGAACATCGCAGGCCCAGAGATTGACACCAACACCAATTTCGGCGGTGTGCCTCCACCAGGGGAAGAAGATCCCGATCTCGGTGATGGTGGTAAAATTCTGGCTTCCAAGGTGGCCGAACTATTACCACCAACACCGAAAATCTAGGATCATCTTCCCCCTGGTGGAGGCAACCCTCTGTATTGGTGTTGGTGCCAATTTCCAGGCCTCCGAGAACAGCAAGGCTCACACTTGCAAGTCAATTCGGGGGGCCTCATCTGGCCGTCAGTGACGTCGTACTCACGACCGGAGACGTCAACGGTGACCTTGCCGCACAGCTAGCTCTCTCTCTCTCTCTCTCACTGCCACAGCAGGGCGCCTCCACCGACAGAAACATGTGGGGACGCCTGCGTTGAACTCCCTGGGGGGAGAGCATGCTGCTTGGTGCCGCTGGAAGCCGTGAAAGGAAAATGAGTTGGATCGCTCAGTGGATCAGCCTCGACCACAGGTGCAGAAACTACGATGGTTCTCGTTGTTCGCCTAGCCTTCCACGAGCCTTCCACCGACTTGGAACGTGCCCCTATCATGACTTCCTCTTGGTCTGATTGAAGTATCTACCTTTTCTTCCACCCGCCTTCCGACGACCTCCGCCAGCAGAGCCGTCCTCCGTCTACTTCCGCGGGCCCTCCGTGGCCCTCCGCCCTCTCCCACCAGGGGGGGCGGGAGGTCGACCCCTGGCACCCTGGACGCCCAGGCCACTTCCTGGAGCTGAACCACGCCTCCCTCGTGCCTTCCTCGCGCACACCGCCCTTCGCCCTCTCCCACCGAGGGGGGCGGGAGGTCAACGCCTGGCACCCTGGACGCTCAGGCCATTTCCTGGAGCTAAACCGAGGAGGGGGAGGAGGGGGAGGAGGAGGAGGGGGAGGAGGAGGAGGAGGAGGAGAAGGAGGAGGAGGAGGAGGAGGAGGAGGGGGAGGAGGAGGAGGAGGAGGAGGAGGAGGAGGAGGAGGAGGAGGAGGAGGAGGAGGAGGCATGCCTCCCTCGTGCCCTCCTCGCGCACACCGCATCCCCGAGCAAGCTGTGCCCGGAAAAGAAGCGGCCCCTGAACGTCGGGAAGCCCGTGCGGAGGCCGCAGCCCGGACCGGGCAGAACTCGAGAGCCAGTCCCACGCACGAGAGCACGGATTTGGCTGCCGGTGCAGATCGCTCTCTCTCTCTCTCGTACTTGTGTATATATACTATAAATAAATACGAATAATAATACTTATTATTATTATGGATAAATAATAAAAACTGATAAGAATAATAGGAATAATAATAATAATCAAAAAATAATAATAATAATCGTAATAATAATAATACTAATAATAAAAATAGTACTAATAATAATAATAATAATAGTAGTAGTAATAATAATAATACGTAGTACTACTATTAACCATGCAAAATAATCGTAAAAAACATAAATATCAGCAACAATCAAAATAAAAACTAATAATAATCAGAATTGTTCAATAACGAATAAAAAAAAGGAAAGACAAACAAAGGGGAGACAAAAAAACATGGAAGAACAAAAAAAAAAAAAAAAAAAACTGAGGGGGAGCGGACACATCAGCTCGTTGACGCACTCGGCGACGCGAGCGCGCAGCCGATGAGCTATCTCTCAAGCGCCGTGCACGTGACGAGTGCATACACGTAACGGAGCAGTTCAGCGAGCGATGGCGTGTATGAATGGTCACTGTGCGGCGGTCGGAACAAGACTGAAAGAAGAAATCGCCACCGCGCATGGACACGGACGATCGCGCACCGTGCACACTTAAGGGAGGAGGAGACGGAGGAAAAGCACAGAAATATGAACAAAAAAACACCACGCGAGCGTGCAGCGATACGAATTCACCAAATGTCGTATCGGTAACACTGGGCAGAAAAGGAGAGGACGAGCAGGAGAGGATGAGGAGGAGGAGGAGGAGGGGGGAGGCACAAAGGCGTACGCCAGAATGTAACGAAACTCACTGTAATATATAAGCCGTATTGCGGGCGAGGTTTTACGGACCACAGAACACCCGTGGAAGTCATCCGCTGTCACAGACGGCGGCCAGGCACAAATGAGCGGGAACATCTCAGGACAAAGAGCACTCCGCTTGCAGCCCTCATGGCTGCTCAGCCACAGCTGGGGGGGGGGGGGGGGGGGGGAAACGGCCACAATCCACAAGAGGAGGAAGAGGCAAGAGGACACGACCAACGACGACAGAAGAGGAGGGAGGAGAACAAGGCGGAGGAGGGGGAACTGCCCCGCACGCAATCTATCGGCCACGCGGCCGGGACAGAGCCGACTGGGCCTCCGCAGAACCAATCCCCTGTCACGGACTCGGTGCACGGCCTCATCGTGACTTCCAGTTGCAATCCACGGTTGGATAGGCTGGTACACCTAGAGGGAGCGGGAGAGGGAGAGAACCAAGAGGAGGGAGCGGGAGGAGCAGGCGGGGACGAGGGTGACAGCGCGGTCTTGCCAAGCGCTACACATATATATATACACACACATGTATATCAAAGTCTCTCTCTATCTCTGACTCTCTCTCTCTCTCCCTCTCTCTCTCTCTCTCTCTCTCTCTCTCTCTCTCTCTCACTCTCTCCCACTCTTCTTTTTCTCTTTTTTCTCTCTCTCTCTCTCTCTCTCTCTCGTTATCTCTCCCTCTCTCTCTCATTATATCACTCTCTTTCCCTTATCGTACTCATGTCATATTGTACGATTACTACTAATTCCACCAAAACAACCACTACTACGACCACAACTGAGAACATAAATAATGCTGCCACTACCACCACTAGTACTATTGATACTACTACGACTACTACTACGACGACGACTACTACTACTAGTACTACTACGACTACTACGACGACTATTACTACTACTAATACTACTACTACTACTACTACTACTACTACTACTACTACTACTACTACTACTACTACTACTACTACTACTCCTGCTACTACTCCTGCTACTACTCCTGCTACTACTACTACTACTACTACTACTACTACTACGACTGCTACTACTCCTACTACAACTACCATTACTACTAGAACAACTGCTTCTAGTACCACGACTACGACCACTACGACTAATACAAAAAATCCCACTACTACTGCTACTACTACTCCTACTACTACTACTACGACTACTACTACTACTGCTACT